CATGGAAAAATATAGATAAGAAATATGTGTTAATTTACATGTAAGAGTTAGTTAGTAACAAGCCTGAGATATTGACTGAGCATTTATAATTAATATTGAGCCTCTGTGTTGGTTACTTGGAAACTGGAAGGCAGGATAGACAAGTCTACCAACAAATGGTGCTCCAACATGGGACCACAATTTCCACACAAGACCTGAGAGAAAGCTTAGAATTTTTTTACACACACAAACATGGAGCCAAACTTGGCTTCCTAGTCTCATGTCTCTGATGCCAACTGTGACTCCTGGCAAATGCCAGTACACCCTGAATTAAACCACAAGGCAGGTTTCATCAATCTCTCACACATGCCATGGTACAGGGAGGTATCTCACAGCCACTGCCCATGGGCTTGAGCTGCCAGGCTAAGCTCTGCCAGCCCAGAGTGGAGTTTGGGGTTTTGCTCATGCAGACAGAAAAGATTATAGATATGCAGTAAAGACAGATTCAGATGGAAAAAACTTCTAAATGGGTTACAGTGTATTTAGAAATATATGTAGGCTTGAGAGAGAAAAGAGAAGGTACAGAGAGTCATAGTATATATATAGTCCTACAATAATAAAATAAAATAAAGCATTTAAAAAGGACTAAAGTTATATAAAAATAAGCCATATAAAGATGGAAAATAAACAAAGAGACTGGATTCTGTATGTTATTGTGTTGTCTTTAGATTTTCTGATTGTTGATAAAGAAACTACAACTGCTAAGAAACATTTGATTATGAAAGCTGCTAGATTAAACCAACCTATGGATTTTAAAAATGTCTTCACTTCAAAATTTAACTCAAAAGTTATGTTACTTTGGGGAAGAGGTTATGCTTTTCTTTCCACAGGACCCGAGAAACTATGGATTGTTTCTGGTTTAAGAAAATGAGGTTTGATTGGGGAAGACTCTCTAAAATCCTGGCTACAGGTATTAAATGAATAAATAAATGAATAAATGAATAAATAAATAAATAAATAAATAAAAGAACTAGAATATAGGTAACATGTATTTTATCCCCTCAAGCATAAAACAAAAAAAAATCTTTAACTGACTTAAGCATACCACATAACCATACGTGTAATATATGTTACCTTCAAAAATTTATGTATTTTCAGAATAAGGGAATGGAAACAGACACCAATAAACATGGATGGCCCAGATGATCCAGCATCCAGAACAACTTCAAGGCTGCTGGCTGAGTTGGTCCAGCCTCACAGAACACTCCAGCCATGACTTAATTATTATTCCAATTTTCTCAAGGTTCCTTCACAAATGTCAGCACCACCAAACAATAAGTGGTAGTCTAAGAATGACTCATATTTTCATAAATGTGTTATGGATGTACATTATAATTTAAAGGAGGTTGGATACTGGTTTTTATTGGTCATAGTTTTAAAAAGAATAACAAAGGAGTTAAACACAAAGATATCTCTCTATAGAAATGATAGGATAAAAAGATGATTGTTAAATCTATTTTTAAACTAAAAAGCACCTAGTAGTCTTAAATATTTTACATTGGTATCAATTTTGGTATATTGATACAAATTTAAAGTTAATTTTGTTATGCTGTATGCATATTTCTGCTCTTGTTTAGAGTATTATGCTTATACAGCTCATTAAAAATATAATGTATAATTAAGAAATACAGGTTAGTAGTTAGTAATCTATAGTAGTCAAATGTACAGTCATGTGAGGTATGTTTTCAAGGTCATACACAGTTTTATTTAGATAGATGGATAGTCTTAAATACTTCAAAGACCTACAGAATATAGTATTGAATATGTTAAATCACCTAAGGCTTTCATGACAATGAGACACATCTGCTCAAGACATCCCCAATTTATATCCAAAGAAGATGATGGGCATCAAAGAAGCTCTGTATGGAGTTTTTCTTTATGGCAAAATCTACTCATCTGGGCATAAACTGCCCTTGCCTGTAGCTGGAGTGTTCTCCAGTCCCACTCAGACCCAAGTAAACACACAGAGACTTATATTAATTATAAACTGTATGGCCATGGCAGGCTTCTTGCTAGCTAGATCATACTAGCTAGATCATGGCTTGTGGATTACTGGTACTTTACATCTTACTTCTCATGGTGGCAGCAGCTGGCAGCATCTCCTGACTCAGCCTTCCACCTCCCAGAATTCCCCTCTCTGCTTACCCAGCCTACACTATACTTCCTGCCTGGCTACTGGCCAATCAGCATTTTATTTTTCCATCAACCAGAATAACGCATTTAACAGCATACAAAAGACATGCCAGCACTTGCCTCAATTATCGAAGGCAAACTGTTACAAAACACAAAATCAATACAGAAAAGAAAATGACAGCCCAAAATTGCAAAAGTTAGGTAGAAGACTCCTTCAAACTTCCATGCTCCTCAGAAATGTCTGTTGGATATACCAGGCCCAAAGGGCAAAGTTGGAGGCCCCAATGTTACAGAAGAAATTTGGGTGACTGTCCAGGAAGTCAGACATCCCTGTTGTTAGGTAACATTTCATACTTCTAGGGTTTTGATGGCGTTAAGACTAAAGAGTTAAACTCATAGCCTTCCTTTGTTTTGATAAAAGGTAAATTAGGTATAAAACTTTAGACTCACATAGATAAGATACATGATAGATTATTTTCTCTAATTTTACAAAATATAAATGGACTAATATTGTAACTGTAATTCTTACCTGATAACTGTTTTAGTTGTATATAATTTTACTATGTTAAAGTTAAAACATTCCTTTTTAATTAGATGAAAAGAGGAAAAAGGTGTGGAAAAATCTCTGTACAATGTAAATATGCATTGTTTTCATTGTTAATAAAAAGCTGATTGGCTTATATCTGGGCAGAAAGAGATTGGGTGAGGTGGCCTGAGATAGAGAGAATGTTGTGAAGAGGAAGTGCTGGAGTCTTTTGAGCAGAGGCAGAGAGAAGAAAATGGACATGCTATACTGAGAAAAGTTACCAAGTGGCAAAGCACAGACAAGAAATATGGGTTAATTTAGAAGTAAGAGTTAACTTTCAACAACCCTGAGCTATAGGCCCAGCAGTTGTAATTAATATTAAGCCTCTGAGAAGTTATTTGGGAGCAGTGTGGGGGACAGAAACTTCTGTTTATAGCAGGCTTTGTAGGTAGTTTGGTGTTTAACTTTTTCCTCTGGCAGGGCACAGAGTACTTTCCAGTATTAACACTACTATTCAGAAGGGATGAAGGCTCTACATAGGCACCAGCTCAACTTCTCCATGTTCAGTGAGTTATGTGGGTATTGTCTTCAACAGTAAGACCTTACCATCAGTTTGTGGAGAGTAACCAACAGCCTTGGCAATAGCCTGGGTAATTTAGGTGTTGTGATGGGGTCTCTTTGGCCAACAATCAAATTAGATTAGATGTAATCCATTCCAACAATGGTGGCTTCATTTGGCGGTGACAGATGTCTATTTTGGGCTTTGTTTCCCCTGTTATTGGTGGTTCCAATTTAGAATTATTTTATACAAGTTGTATTTTAAGAAGTTTCCACTGTATTAGGTTTCCATATGACCTTTAAAATGGCACTTAGTTTTAGCCATCCCTCCCAGTATTCCCTCCCTTGCCTCCTCTTTCCTCTCCTCCCCATTTGATCCTCCCTTTCCCATCCCTCCCCATTCATCCATAACTAACCATTCTATTTCCCCTTCCCAGGGGATTCTTTCTCTCTCACAACTAGTTCCTTATCCATACCTAACCTCTGTGGTTAAATAGATCATAGCCTGCTTAACAAAGACTTAGCCACTAAGGTATAAACAAATACATGCCATATTTGTCTATTGGGGTCTGTGCTACCTCACTCAGGATGATTTTTTTTGTAGTTCCATCTATTTACCTGTTGAGTGTGGATGAATCTGTGCGAAGTTAATGGGAGGGAGTTGCATGTAAATATGATCAAAATATTTGGTATCAAATTTCAAAGAGTCAATAAAATAGTTTTGAAAAGAGTTGAATCTAATTGCATATGTGACATAACATAAGAAATTAAGATTATCAGCCCAGAAAATTGTTAAACTGTAAGAGTTTTCTCTATTGCAATTAGGTAAGCAAACCTCATTGTTGCTTAGATTTCATTAAATGTTATTTTCACACATCGATTTTCTCTTACAAAAATTACAAGAGGTGACATTGAGTTAGTACTAGCTAAGACAAAGGAACTCCAAAATAAACATGAACAGTGAACTCTGTTTGATATCAGGAGAAAGTAGAAAAAAAACTAAAAACAAACAAACAAATAAAAACTAGCTAAAAACCTTTACATGTTAACCCTTTATTGAAGTATTAAATACAAAAAGCATTTGCTATCCCTGTTTGTCTACCCACTGAGAATGAGAGGCCAGGTCTCCATGGGGTGAGGTTCCACTCATCCCATCACATCCCCAGCTCACTTGTCAGGTTTCCAGTTCAGCCACACAGTGG